AAAAAAAAAAAAAATCAGAAGTAAAAGCCATGAGCTTCCACATTTGCTGGCCCACTGAGTAGCCAGGAAAAAAAAAAAAAAAAAAAAAAATTCAAGCACACAAAGTATTCTGAAACTTGAGAATACTAATGTCCTTTGGTACCACAAAAAATAAGTACACATTTGGTGCTAGGGATCAGACTCAGGACTTTGTGCTTACCAGGCAGGCACTTATGCCTCTGAACTATCTCCTCGGCAAAAGTTTAGACTTCTTAATTTTTTGGGGGGGGTGGAACTGGGGATTGAACTCAGGCTCTTGTGCTTGCCAGGGAAGCGCTTATTCCACTGAGCCATCTCCCTGGCCCCTGAATTTTTTTTTTTTTTTTGGTTGATTTTTGGGGGTTCCTTTGGAGGCAAGGTCTTGCTTAGTAGTGCACCTGGCTAAAACTGAACTGCCTTTTCTGAGGTTTGAACTTAGGACCTTCAGATTATGAGACTGACATACTACCTAGTGCACTAAGGCAGATGGGACCTGTGAGTGAAAATCTTTTAGCATAGATTTATCAACTGAATATGAGGGTAGAAAAAGGGATTAAAAGAGAAAAACGGGATTATATTCATGAGTTTCTGTAAATATTTACTTCAAATACTGAGCTCTAAAAGCTACTCTAAGGGGCCAGGGACATGTCTCAGTGGAATAAGCACTTCCCTGGCAAGCACAAGGGCCTGAGTTCAATCCCCGATTTTGCCCAAAAAATAAATAAATAAAAGCTACTCTAGTGGGGCCACATAACTGTAATCCCAACCTTCTTGAAGCTGAGGCAGGATGATTGCAGTGAGGTGGAAGCCAACCTGGGCTACCATGAGAGACGCTGTATCAGAAAAACAAAAAATGAAAGGAAAGCTAATACAAAATGTGATCTATTGAAATGGATCTTTTACAAATGGGAAGAGAATCAAGAAGTGAAAGCCAGGGAGAAGGAAGAAGTAGAAAGAGTGAAGAGGCCTTTGATCCATGCAGTGGCTCTCTGTGACCAGTGTGGTCACCATGCACTGCAAACACAGACTAGGAAAAAGGTAAGCATTAAATGTAAACAAGTATACGTATACAGGGCTTGCAGGTTAGCTCAGTTGTTTCCTGCTTGGGCCAACTCAGTCAGATGCAGTGGACCACGGTTCAACCCCCAGCTCCACAAGCTGCAGTAGACCCGCCCTTAAGACAGCTTGAGGTAACCAAAAAAAAAACTTCTCCAATTTTTCAATACCCGGTACCACAAAAAAATAAAAAAAAAAAAGTAAGTACACATTTGCAGAAATGGGGGGGCGGGGGAGAGAATAACTCAGCTGGGTGTGCTGGCAAATGCCTAGGATCCTAGCACTCTGAGAGAGTGAGACAGGAAGATCAGCCTAGGAAATTTAGATTTAACAAGACTGAAAAAAAAAAAATCAAGACTTAGTCTCAAAAGTTTTAAAAAAGATCTGGGGATGTAGCACAGTACAAAAGTCACCTGAGTTTAACACCTAGCACTGAAAAGAAAAAAGAGAGGAAAAGTGAAAGAGAGGGAGAAACCAGAGAGGGAAAGAAAGCTGAGTGTGGTGGCCACACCTGTAATCCCAGCTCTCAGGAGGCTGAGGCAGGAGGATTGTTGTGAGTTCAGGGACAGCCTGGATCATGTAGTGAGTTAAAGATCAGCCTAAACTATGTAGTGAGGCCTTGTGGACAGAGAGAAAGAGAGAGAGAGAGAGAGAGAGAGAGAGAGAGAGAGAGAGAGACAGACAGACAGACAGACAGACAGACAGAGAATGTAGGTATTACTTTACTTTTGGAGGTAATTAGTAAGATAAAATTATCTTATAGCTGGGGAAGCAGCTCAGCAGCATGAGTAACTGCCTGGCAAGCCTAAGATCCTGAATTCCATCCCCAGTACAAAAAAAAAGGATAAAATAATTGAACTGAGCCTTGGGAAATAGCACATCACTAGCTCTTGCCTAGCCTAGACAAGGCCCTGGGTTCATTCTTGCAATACCACAAGTTTTAAAAAAGAAAAAAAGGTTGGATTCACCCTCATCAGAAGTCCAAATTTTGGGGCCTGGGGAGATAGCTCAGTAGAATAAGTGCTTGCCTGGTACGGGGGGGGGGGGGAGAAGACATCCAAATTTTAATGTATGTCAGGCACCTCTGTCCTCTAGCCACTCAAGAGGCCTCACCTTTGCTGAAGTGGAAGTGGATTTCTTCCCCTGGCCCTGGTTTCCTCAGGGATACCGGAGTCTCGGTCTCAGACAAGGGCACATCATAGAACTTATACTCCACGTACACCTGCTTCACGTTCTCATCGGACATGACCTCAGCCTCTGGGTAGAAGGCCAGGGAGACAATTTCAATACGCATTTTCTCTGAATCCTATTGGGGAAAACATTTGTTGCATAGAGGTTAGGGAGGCCTGGAGCATTTCTACTCCATTCCATGAACTCATTGCTCAGTGAACCCAATCCCGGCTGCCCTCCCTGAGATTGAGTTCACAGGTAAGACTGGCAGCGGGAGACAACTGAATTACCACAGCTCATCCACAGGCAGTTTGTAAAGAGAATCCAGAGTCTATCTCCCAATCAAGTATTTCTCCAGGCCAGCCTTTCCTGGCCATCTCCACGGAGAAAGGATGGAGATTTCTGAGGAGAGAATTTTCCGCAGGCCAACATTTTCCTGAGGGTAGAACCTGGGTGAGCATCAGAGTGCTGTCTGCCTGGGCCATTTTACATGCTTCTGTCTCGTAATCTGAGCAACTGCACTGAAGACAATGTGCAATGTAACAAGCACTGTTGAAGACCTTTCACAGTGTTGGGTTTTTAAAATTGTGTATCTTTTTTTTTTTTTTTAGTGGAACCAGGGATTAATTCAGGGTCTTGAGCTTGCCAGGCAAGCACTTATTCTACTGAGCTATCTCCCCGGCCCCCATGTATCATTTCTAATGTCTTATCTATTATTTTTCTATTCTCTTTAAAATAAAAAAGAGCTGTCCAGAACTGCTTCTCCTTTCCCCCCTGAGCCATTTCTTCTTCCTGCTTCTCCTCCATCTCTTCCTCCTGTTTCTCCCCTCCTCTTCCCCTGCCATCCTCTTCTTTTTGAGGCAGAGTCTCACCATGTAGTACAGCCATGTAGTACCCGCCTTGTATAGGCATGCGCCACGCTCAGCACCTGTCTTCCTCTGATTGTCCTTCCATCCACGCCAGCATGGAGGACACCAACAGGAGGGCTGACGTGTCTTGTTTCCCAAAGTAGACAGAGGCCGAGGTGAGTTCCTCCTTCCATGCTGAGGCAGAAGTCAGTGTCCACCCAGAAGGTATCCCAGTGACCCCAGGTCCCTACTGTCTGTGAGTGCCCTCCCGCCTGCATCTGTCCACTAGGTCACCAGCACTACACCCTACTTCTCTAAAGACCTGAAGCTTGGGCCAGCGAGATAGCTCAGTAGACTAAGTGCCTCTTAGGCAAGCACAGGGATCAGGGTTGGAACCTGACACCACATGCTGTTCCTGTGTCCCAACCCCCAGGTATGCTGAGCCTGCCACAGAGACGGGTGGTGCATGCCTGTAATCCCAGGCTGAAAACAGGAGGATCACTTCAAGTCTGAGTTGTGTAGTATCAAATGTATAAAAAAAGTAATTAAAAGACCTGTGACTACCGTGTTTTCCTCTCTCAAGAAGCAAGAGGAGCACCTGTCTGTGTCTTCTAAGAAATTCAGCAGGCAAGATCCACCAGTGATCTGCATCATGTTATCAAGGATGCTTCTCTCTCTCTCTCTCTCTCTCTCTCTCTCTCTCTTTTTTTTTTTTTTTTTTGGTGGAACTGGGGATTGAACTCAGCCCCTTGTGCTTGCCAAGCAAGAGTTACTCTACTGAGCCATCTCCCCGGCCCTAAAAATGCTTCTTAAAATGAAGAGATTCCATGTTTTCAGCTCAATAATCTCCACATATCCCTCCCACCATGCTCATTAAGTAAACCAATGACATGACACAGCACCTTCTAAAGAGTGAGTTTCAGTGCTTTGGGGGATCAGCTTAGTGGGTTTCATTAGCTTTTTTTTTTTTTTTTTTTTTTGAGTCAGGGTCTCATTATAGTCAGGGTTTCAGGCTGGCCTCAAACTCATGGCAATCCTCCTGCCTCAGCCTCCCAAGTACTGGGATTACGGATGTGCTGCATCACACCCAGCAATTTAAAAAATAATAGTGTACAGATGTCGGAGAGACCAAGAGATGGCAGGAGGAGGAAGGGAAAGGGAAACGAACCTAAAAAATAAGCTGTTGTATGTCCGGCTCTCGGCGAGGAGTGCAATCACTGTGTACTGTATTATATACTGTTGTTTGTACCAGCAAAACTATTTTTTTCTTTTATTTATTTGTATTTTAGGGAAGGGTCTACAAGGTGTTCAGGGTCTCATTACGACATCTTTTTTTTTTTTTTTTTTTTTTAAAGTACTGGGGATTGAACTCAGTACCTTGGGCTTGCCAGGCAAGCACTTATGCCCTTGAGCTACCTCCCCAGCCCTCATTACTAAATCAGTCTCATAGTGATCTGCCTGTTTAAAGCCTTCCAAGAGCTGGGATTACAAGCCCATGCCACTATACCCAGTCTCAATTGCCATCTCATTGCACCCCAGGGGTGGGGTCAGCAAGGCAGGCCGGGGTCTTTTATTATTTTAGAGAGAAAAAACTAAAACAAAATTTCAAAGCATGGGGCCGGGGAGATGGCTCAGTAGAAAAAGCACTTTCCTGGCAAGCACAAGGGCCTGAGTTCAATCCCTGGTTCTGCCAAAAAATAAAACAATAATGACAACAACAAAAACAAACAAACAAAAAACCCCACAAAATTTCAAAACAGTGCTCGCTGCTGAGCACACATACTAAAATTGGAACATATAGACCCAGAGCGCAGGCCCTGTGAGTGAGTGAGAGGACCCAGGTTGCTGGATCCTGAATAGACTCAGAGTACAGGCCCAGCGTGGAACCCTTCAGCAGAACTCCCTGCAAAGAGGTTAGAGGCCAGATCCACTCAGCTGATTCAGGAGCAGAATATCTTGCCAGAGTGACACAAAAGGTTCAACTCCAGTGGCTGCAGCAGGAAGAAGTGGAGCATAGAAGCCAGACCCCAGCCAGATCCAAGCAGCACCCACCTGGAGGAATCTGAACTTCATAGATCCAGACCCGGTACTAAGGTAATAACTCTATCTAAGCTCTACACCAAAGGTCAGAAGACAGTGGTATACAAAATGACAAAGAGAAGGAACAAAATGCAGTCTCAGGCCCCG